AAACAAGTCCCATGTCTGAATGGACACGATCCTGCGAACAAGTGATGGTAGTTTGGCTAGAAATTCCATGCATGGCATCTTTGAGTCCATCAAATCCATGTTCAGAGGTGAATCCAGAAAAATTTCTGAGCAGCGCATAAAATAATTAGCATAATATAAAATAAAAAGAAAATTATTTATAAAAAGTACGGTTTTAATAAAAATGACATACAAGTGGTTGTTTGCAACACCCAAGTGGGTTTTCCTTCTTTTTTGCTGTTGTCACCAAAAGAATTAAGAGCTAATTCGAACCTGCATCCTTTGATGCCAATGCGATGACACTACTAGTAGAATATAACCACTTTTTGTTAGCTTTGGGGAGCACACGTCAAATGAAAGCGGGTGATTGTTTAAAACCTACCCATTTTTTTCCTTTGTGTCGAAACGGATAAAGCAGGGGCATGGACGTCCTGTGGTACTTGGGATAGGACAAAACAAAAACTTCTTGTTCTACGTTTAATGCGACATTTAGACTGGGACATGACTGAGTGGAACACCAAAATAGGTGGAACAATAATGAGGGAGATGTGACATGATCAGTAAATTACTAAACTACCCATGTCGAATTAAAACCCGAAAACCTTACACAATTCTCAGCCGCGTACCTTACTCTCGCCCGTCCAGTCCTGTCAAGGCCCGTCTCCGTACCAAAAGCACCCTCTGATCATGTACATGTTGGTCCGGTGATTGATGGATGTAAATAACCCCTAAAGTTTGTTTTAGACCAGATTATATTAACGAAACATATTCATTCAGGTATCGATGAAGACGGAAGTCACATGGGTGCGTGATATGCTTAGAGGAGATGATGCATTTGAGTTGCAGGTAAAGCTTCTGAAACAAGTTCCAGAGGAGTACCCATACAAAGATGATGAGTAAGTAACATACATACATGCATGTATGATGTATCCTCTTCAATAATATATATATATATATATACACACATAATATATGTATCTTCGTTACTGATTTTGTTACAACGTTTGATGTGTTAGAATTTGCTCGTATTATTGATCTGGAATTTGATGCTTCATTTCTCAGTACCTCTTCTCGTATTATAATTGGTATAGGTTTAGAAGGACATTTTGTTTTTTTAAGTGCTTAAAGTACAAAAAATTGAAACCTAAATCTGAAGATCAAGGGACATTTTGGTTGGTTAAGTCATGTAGGTATAAAGTTGTCTATGCGAATTAATTTGTCTGTATAGATTGAGAATGTTTTTGTTTCGGTTGGGTTTTTCATAAATGGAATGAACATTTTTTAATCCGGAAGTGCAATTTGAGAAGGAAAAAAACTTGGTTTTCTGCATAATACTCCCCCTAGAAACTTAATGAATAAGCTACTTTCTGTATCATTAATCTACCACCAAAGACATAATAAATTGTTAGCCCCATTATGTTCCTAGCAAGTTTTTGCTTCAATAGATTCTCCAAAATGGAGAAGCTACGAGGCAACGTGAAATTCCTCTAAATTTGTAGAACTCTCCAAAAATGATTACCCATTTGTTTATAATATTCCCACCGATAAGAAAACATTGATGTTTAATGTTTACGAGACAAAATAATATTTTATTGCATGTATAAAATATTTTAATAATATAATCAATATTTGTAATCTCTAAAATGAAAAAGCTTTTTAGAGTTATTTTTTTGAAAATTTAAAATTTTGATTCTCTATTTTGATCTTTTTTGGAAAATTTGTTTTATGTTGGCCGAATAAGAGTAATGTTGTTTGCCACACTCTTTGTAAAATACACCTCATAACCACAAAGGTGGTGCCTGATTGGTTTGAGCTTGGCTCCAAAGTACCAGGAGGTCATAGGTTCAAATCCAATGAGGAATAAAAATATCCTTGTGGCCACGGAGGTTCAAATGCGGTGACTCCGGGCTCTCTGCAAAGCAGGTGGTCGTCTTGGGATTAGTCGGCTCGCATAACGGGTTGGATATCCAGGTTAATAAAAAAAAACATCATTCACGTTCTCGCTCTCACACATACACGCACGCCGGGCCCCATCCTCTCTCTCTCTCTCTCTTATATAGCCACACATGGACCGTAGCAACTACAACTTCTATTTTCCTAGTTTTTAGTTTGTTTTTGGGTTGAATATGAAGCTGCCATTTCGAAAGACGAAGTTATGATAGCAATTCATATAAATTAGTTGTATTTTATCCTTAGATTACGGAATAGGTTTTAAGATCCATAAAACGAAAAGAATCAAACCAAATTAGTAACTTCAAAAGACGAATACTCTCAACAAAGTTTTGTTCGATTTCAAGTTAAAAGTTTTGGATACAAAAACCGTTATAAACATATCATTTGAAACATGTTTGTTGGTACAATGAATATATTAACATAGAGCAAATATACCAAAATTAAATGTATTTTATTTACTAAAGGGTTTTTTGGCCTACCGGTATCGTAGTTTTTGCCTTCCCAATAGATCAAGGGTTTAAACCTCAGTAAAAGTAAAAAAGGGTGTGTAAGTTTATTTGTTGCATTTACCTATATGATATTAGAATAGTACTCGCACAATGCAACAAGATAAATCTCGATTTTAGTGTTTAGTTTTTATTCTATCTCTATCGATATAATACGATTTTTATGTGGTTTTCAAAAAAACGACAATATTTTTATTTTTGAATTAAATATAAATTTGAAGATAAAATAAGAAATTGAAAAAAATAAATCGATATTAGTATCAAATTAACTACTTAGTAATTCTCGTTTTTTATAACTTTTTAATTCAAAATTTTATTATAATATAATTTAGATTTAATAACAAAGTAATTTATTTTGATTTAACAGTATATTTTTTTATAAAGGTAATAATTAAACATTATGCCAAAACTCAATGGTTATCTTAATTATATTTTAGATTTTTTTATATTTAAAATGGATGTTTATCTCGTATTTGATTATGTTTATCTATAATTAGTAATATGAATTTAAAAAATGATCTTTAATAAGTTATACTTACGCAAAATTATTTATAATCTTGAATATTAAGTAATATACATCAATAAACACTACTTCATACATAAAAAATGGTTTTTAAATTTTTTTATTAAATGCTTTATAATATAATATAAATTATATACTTGTAAAAATTATATTTTATTTCGTTTCTTACCTAAAAAAACCCACTTTAAAAAAAAGTGAGAAAACATATGAAACAATAAAATTTACTTTTTTAATACATAAAAATAATTTATATTAATTTTGATGTAATTTACGTTTTGAAAATTGACAAATTCCATCCATGCCCTTGGGATATATATTTTAAGAAACTATATGTTTATTATTAAATTATGACTTCAAGTCTTCGTGTATAAACAAACATATAACTTTTGTCCTTTTGTAGAGTACAACTTTTAATGCATTAAATTACACATTTTATTGATATTCGCGCATCTTTTTTTAGTGGTTATATTCCTTTTCACATTCCCATCTACACGTATTAACAAAACCACTATAATAAAATGTGATAAGAGTGTTTTTGTGTTTTTATAAAATGAAGACGTTTTCGTTTGAACCTCCACCTATATATATATATATATATATTCTTTCTTAATATAAAACATTGATTGTAATTAATGAACTCTCATTATAAAATATTTAAATTATAATAAATTAACTTTCTTCATTTCCATGAATATTGGTTTACTGTTCTATAACATTTAAAAGGTTTAACCACAAGAGTGGAGCTTGATTGGTTGGAGCTTGGCTTTAAAGGTCAAAAGTACCTGGAGGTCTCAAGTTCAAACCCAAGGAGGAATAAAAATACATTTGTGGCCACGGAGGTTCAAATACGGTGACTCCGGGCTATCTGCGAAGCAGGTGGTCTCCCTGAGATTAGTCGGCTCGTATAGCGGGTTAGGTATCTAGGTTAATAAAAAAAATTGCATTTGATTTGTCATATATATATATATATATATATATATNGGGGGGGGGGGGGGCATGGTTCATGGGAAATTGTAAAAAGTGAAAAACCGAGTTACATCTGATAACCGTTTATTTGGATGGCATGTAAATGTGTATACAAGCAAGTTCTAAGCAATTTGTCTGGTATGTAGTATGTACATAAAACCAATAAACAATTTCATCCAGATGAATGGTTATCAATGTGTTCCTCAGTTTTTTTGGGATTTTCCTCTAAACCTCCCTATATATAATATGTGTTTTCAAATACAAAAACTATGCAACCAAATAATTGAGATATTTATGGTAAATGACTAAGGGTTCATTTTTTTTATGATCTGGATACTTATGAAAGATAATTAAAGTCTAGTAATTATGATCAAGATTTAATTAGAAAACAATAGAAATATTTATAAAACCATATACTCATTAGACCATATAGACGATTAATTTATAGCAATATATTAATTTATATATTAAAATATCAAATATATATATATATATACACATGGTTATCAAACATTAAATAATAGGACAAATTGCATGAAAAGATTATATACTTTGGCTTAATTCCTATTTTAGGTAACGATTTTTCAAAACTTTTGTTTTAATATATAAGATGCAAAGTTTCAAATATTTAAGTAATTGGGTAACCACTTCAAGTATTAGTCGGTTACCATGTTGATGTGGCGTGCGATGTCATGTTAGTAAATAATACCGAGTTAGATGTCACATCACCCACCACATCAACATGACAATCAATTATCCAAATACTTAAATATTTGAAATTTTATATTTTAGATACCAAAACAAAAAATTTGAAAATACGTTATCGGGCAATTTTTCCCGAATAATAATAATATCATAAATATAGGGTGCCGCGAAATTACACGAGATACGTAGTTTGAAATTACGACGACGTTTCCTTCAACATTCTTATTAAATCATATCCAATCACCAGTCTAAGTCAACACACCACCAAAATCCCCCCTTCTCTCCACTCATCTCGCCGGAAAGCTCATCTAACGATGTCGGACTACGGCGATTCCGACCGCGGTACCGGTTGCTACCGCTGCTGTTTCAGCTTCTTACTAACCCTAGGCCTCACATCGCTCTTCTTATGGCTAAGCTTACGTACTTCAAATCCAGTTTGCTCCATTCAAGACGTTTACATTCCCGCTCTTAACAAAACCAGAAATTCAACCTCCTATCAATCCATCTATCTCGATCTGAAGCTCGATAACGAGAACAAAGATAAAGGTATTTACTACGATCCAGTTGATATTACTTTACATTATTACGTCAACGGATCGAATTCCGATTTTATCCGTATCGCGAACTACACGATTCGAGGGTTTTACCAGGGGCATCAGAAGAAAACTCGTCGGAAAAACTGGACGGATACGTACGGAGTGCCGTGGGATGCGGCCGTGAGGACGATGAATGGTGGTGGAAAGGTGGTTTTCAGAGTCAATTTGGAGACGGCGGTTAGGTTTAAGATATTGTTTTGGAAAACGAAGAGGCATGGACTGATCGTCGGAGCTGATTTTGACGTCAACGATGTAGGTATGAAAGTGTCGAAGAAAGGTACTAGGTTGAAATCCGGTGCACCGGGATTTCTTTCCGGTGAAACTCCGGTGTGGTCGCTCTTGGTTGTTTTTAGTACTTTGGTTTTAGTGTAAACATGCGTATTCCTTTCAGGGTAAATTACGTTTTTAGTCCCTATAATTTATTGAGAATTTCTATTTTTATCCCTGTAGTTTGTTGTAAATATTTTTTTCCATTGTCCATGTCTGCTCATTAATTTTAACAAGTCAGTCCAGACTCTTCCATTTCTTCTAGAATGGTAATCCAAGGACGGTCTAGCGGATCATCCCGCTCATAAACTGCTCTATTCCATATCTGAAATCCAATCGGATTTTTTGGATCGTCACCGAACTCTGCCTGATTAACCTAATGCACACCCTATTACGGTTAACAATTTTTTTAGTCCTTGTGATTACAATTTATTGTTGTTTATATCTTTTTGGTTTATAATTTATTATTGTTTTAAGTACTAGTTATTTTAGGGACGAAAATTGCAATAAATTATAAATCTTATGGATGAAACGAAATTTTGAAAACCATTAGGACGAAAGTAGTAATTTTTAAAAAATCACAGGGTCGTGAAATCGTAGGCTGCTTTATTTTGTCTGGTACCGTTTATCAATCAATTATAATTGGTATGTAAAATCTTATATTATCAGTTGTGTATCAATCAATCGTATTTGATACCAACTAAATTAGTATCCACTTTCTTTTTCAGCTGATACATCTAGATATCGATTTCTAACCAATTTTAAGTTACATGTATGAAAAATTTTCAATATGTTTAAATTTTGAGCGAGTTATTTTTGAGTTTTCAGGTAAAACATGATATTCAAGGGGTTTTAATTGCAAGGAATAAAACCTGAAACCGTTCAGATAGTCAAACAAAACAATTACAAACACAAAGTTTAATATTTAATACATAAAAATAATTCAAAAACTAGTAAACAATTTGACAAGTCGGTACCATGGTACATGACTTTCAATACCATGTATCAACCAAGTTTTCATACTTGGTAAAGTACTACCAACCGGTTGTAATAAATACCGATTGTGTTTGTATCAATTTAATTGATATACATGTTAATTGGTTTAGTTTGATACATAATTGACGCCCGGGTAATATATATACATGGTTTTGGATTTTATTTTCTTCATTTCAGAGAAAAAGGCTATTGTACAGTTCAACACTGATACAAACGTGCAACGGCAAAACTGGGTGGGTCCACGTTGTAAAATAAATTGTTTTTTTTGTTAACGTGGATATCCAACCCGCTATGCAAGCCGACTAATCTCAAGCATTGTCATGTTTATACAGTAAGGTAAATGACCCGATAAACTAGGCATGACAGATACTGATACAGTAAGATTTCTCAAGCCTTGTTTGTTAAAACGATCTTCGTTGTTTTTGGTGCTTCTTTTAGCATATTTCTTTATTTTGTATAATAGGCGAGAGGTTTGAGATTTGACTCCATATACCATCAATCCCTGTCTCCAAAAATTGTAATTTACCTCTCTTACGATGATTGTGGAACTAGAACCGTGAGGGCTAGTGGTGTCAGTACACATTTTATACAGTATCTCATCTTTTGCAACCGCTAGCAGTGACAGACCTATAGTGATGCATACGGTACCACGTGCCACCGTATTATTCATCCGTTGAAGGGTAAAAAAAATTAGGTTCATGAAAGATGCAACCGTATTAATCTATTATGTGTCACCGTATGTATTTTGAAACTACAATGAGAACAAGTTTTATTTAGTAGAGTTGGTTTCAAGGTTTTTATTCCATCCGAAACCCAAGTTCGAATTTTTTTAGTGTCATTTTTTAGTCAAATGGTGTCACCGTTTGAAAAAAAAATCGTATGTTTGTTTCTTATAGTCAAACGGTGAATTTTTTCCCCTGTAATTTTTTCTTATAGTCAAATGGTGCAATTGTTTGAAAAAATTCATGGGTCCGTCCCTGACCGCTAGACCAAAGACCCATTGGTATTCTAAAATAGTTATTGGAGATGCTCTAACATCTTAAGGGACAGTTTGCAAAAAATATGCAAAAAACAGAAAGGTAACCACAAAACTCTCACAAAAACAAAGTCCCTGAAACGCACGAACGAGAGGGAGACAACTCAACACGAAACAAGTGGGAAACGGAAAAGGCGCTCAAACATTGAAAGGGCTTGAGAAGGACAGTAACAAAACGAATGTTAACTTTATAAAATTCCTCTGGTACCACTCCGACCAAGAAAAACGAAGCTCCTTGGAGTGCTTTGAAATCTATTGGTACGATAGGAGCTGGACTTCATAGAAATGATGGTTAACATGAGATCATATACTGTATTTCAATATTATATATTTAAAAAAAAATCTAGACATATAGAATTTATAACAAATACAGAGCAAGAAAAATATCTGATTAAAAAATATTTTTGATGGTAAACTCAAAACAATTAGGTGTTTTGTATGCATCATTATTTATGTTAGGATCAGATTATATCATGCATTGAAGATGTAAAAAATAAGTCTTGATGTTCATATGTAAGAGGAGGAAGTTAGTAGATAAGAGTGCATTTAATATTACTATAAGGGTATTCGCACAATGCAGCGAGATACATCTCAATATTAATGTTTTGTTTTATTTATTTCTGTCTCAGTCAATATTATAATACAGTTTTATGTGGTATTGAGAAAACGTTTTTATTTTTGAAAAAAATATAAATATGAAGATACCATAAAAAATGAAAAAAAAAATTAAAATTAGTATCAAATTAACTATTTAAATTTTCTCGTTTTTATGTATATTTATTTCATTAATTTTTTATCCTTATTCAATAACATAATTTTTTATAAAGATAGTAATTAAATATTTTGTTAGAACTCAATGATTATCATAATCGTACTTTTGAAAATGAGATGTTTATCATGTATTTGATTATGTTTATCTGCAGTTAGTTACACAAATTCAAACATGAAATTTTAATAAGTCGTACTTACATATAGCTTATTTGTAATATGCATCAATAAACAATATTTCATGCATAAAAAATGGTTTTTAAGAGTTTTTGTCAAATGTTTTATAATATTGTATAGAGTTTGTTTGTTACATTAGACATGCCATAACAGAACAACGATTACTATCCATGTTTGATATGACTGTTATGTGAAACAAAGTGGAACGAACGTGTTCCACCCTCATCCTATGGATCAAGTTACAACAAACATATATTTTATCAATATAAATCAGAATACAACTTAATTTGTTTTCTAATCAAACACATCTCTCTCTTTCTCTCTTTACAATTTACATATTATTTAAATTTTATTTATTGTATTTTATGTTTTTTAAACTTTCATTTTACTATTTTCAAAATATTATTTTTATGTATTTTTCTATATTTTGATTAATTTATTAAATATTTATAACAAAAACATAATATAAAAATGTAGAAGATGAAAACCAGATATTATATAAAGGGAAAATTGCACTAAAATGGAACTAACTTTCACCTAATTCCTATTTTGGGGAACTAACTTTCAAAATTATCATTTTGGGGAACCAACTTGCACCTGATTTTTATTTTGGGGAACCAACTTTCAAAATCGTCATTTTGGGGAACCAACTTGCACCTGATTCTTATTTTAGGTAACCAAAAATAATTATAGAAAAATAACTTAAATTCGTTTTTTCCAAAAATTAATGCAATAAAATATATTTTTCATTTCAAATCTCGTTCTTTTAAATTCAGATATCAAATTGAACATTTWAAAAAAAATAATCCAAATTACTACAATAAAAATTGTTTTTTACTAATGCAAAAAAAATAAATTTAATAGAAAAAAATCAATTGATGCAATAAAAAATAAATATTAAATATCACATTCAATCCAATTGCATCAATTAATTTTTTTCTATTAAATTGATTTTTTTTGCATTAGTAAAAAACAAAATTTATTGTGTTAATTTGGATCTTTTTTAAATGCTCAAATTTGATATCTGAATTAAAAAAACGAGATTTGAAATGAAAAATAAATTTTATTGCGTTAATTTTTGGAAAAAAACGAATTTTAGTTATTTTTCTATAATTATTTTGCAAGTACAGGAATCAGGTGCAAATTGGTTTCCCAAAATGACGATTTTGAAAGTTGGTTTCCCAAAATAGAAATTAGGTGAAAGTTGGTTCCATTTTGGTGCAATTTTCCCTTATATAAACTTCATATTTTGGTGTCATTTTAATCATTTTGACGAAAACTTTATAATGATATATTTTGTTACAAAAATATTTATAACATTATAATATTTTGAAAATCACATAGACTATTCAAACTATAGAGAAAAAAAAAATTCAAACAACTAATTAAAAGTAAATTGATCATTTTATTTAGGGACGTTAAAAAAAACATTGGACTGTTTACACTAGTCAAAACAGATCAAACCGGACCATTTTTGGTGATTTGAGTGCCTGGTGGTCCTATCTGGTATGAAAAATAGCCAAATCTTTTAGTCTGACTTGGTCTATGATTTGAACGGTTTGGACCCACTCAATCATGTTATATTTATAGATAAATTATATTTAGTTTCATGTTGCAGGCTTAATTTTTATAGACCAATTAAAAAAGTTCGTCCAAAATATTATGTTTTTAATTTTCATTTCTCAATTGACCATGTTATCTAAATTGACGTCAAAAATCAAATTTCTTAAACCATCATTACAGTTTGGTTTGTGGGTTTAAACAGTCCAAATTAGACCGTGAACACCCCAAATTTTATGAGTGTTATTTCTATCTAATTTTGTCTTACCAAACATTGATAAGCATACTTGATAACAAAACATCCCTAAAGTTGCTTTAAATACACTCTCTTAAGGGCTGTTTATTTACGGCTTAATTAGGCTTATTGGTCTATTTGGCTTATTCGCACAGCTCATTTGGGTTGTTTACTTACGACTTATTCGCACAGAACATGACTTAATCACACATATATAAATGGTGTGTTGTCCTCATTCACAAAAATGACACTTCTACCCCTTATTTAAAACATCACCTCCTTCCAAAATGAGACACCCCATCATCAACCTCTTTATGATTTTTTATTTTGATATTCAAATGATTAATATTGGAGGTAAATCAGTCATTTATATTATCCAAACTGTTGGTTTAGATAAAAAAAAGTAAACAATAACACCCATTTATTCAAACAGACAAATTTATCCACACATAACTAGGGCCTGTTTACTTGTGGCTTAATGAGCTTAGTGGATAAATGGGCTTATTCGCACAGACTTTCTAGGCTGTTTACTTTGGGCTTAATCGCTCAGAAATGGGCTTATTCGCCCAGATGAAGAAAGGAACTTGTCCAGATTAAGCCGGCTAAAAGACTGCCCTACCCTTCTCCTCCATCGATCGCACATCTCTTCTCCTCCATCGATCGCACATCTCTTCTCCTCCAAACTGTTTACAGAACCCTCTTCTCCTCCATCAATCGACCGATTGATAGTCGAATTTCTCGAAACGAGAGGAGATGGGAACCTTCTGGAAGGTGTGGGTGTGGGTAAAGACGACGAATTTGAAGAAGTTGAAGGCGAAGGCGAAGGAGACAAGTATCTTGAAGAAACTTGGCTTGATTTAGGTCTTGTTGGTTTATTAATTCCATTATCTTTCTCGGAAGGCAACAACGGAGGTCTTGTTTGGTTTGTTGTTTCAGAAATGGCAGCCACCATCATCAAGAAAATCACAAAATAAGAAAACCCCAGATGAAATCTTCAAGTAACTCACCTCACATTGTCGATTTAACCCAAAGAAACGATCAAGAACCCCCAAATTTTTTGCCAAGAAATCAACCCCCCTGCAACACAAAGATGAAGAAACACCATGACGACTTGAAATCCGCGAATGGGTTACTTGAAATCTCCCTCAGTTGTTGAACTTTACGACACAGAGTAACGTCAATAGTACGGTGATGAAATTCAAGATTCAGAAGTTTTTTTCGTTGTTCCTGCTTCAGAAAGAAAGGAGAGAGAGAAGGGAGTGGTGAGATTTGGAAAAAAAAGTGATGGTGGGGGGTGGAGGTAGGGATAGAAGCATAGTTGTTTGGGTGAAGGGTGAAGGGGTGTTTGGGGTTGTGTGAATCTTGATTAAATAGTTGGTTCCATTTGGGTTTATTCAACAATTATTAAACGGTACGTAGTTCATCTTTAAGGGTTAAATTGGTCATTTCTATTATTCAGACTGTTGATTCAGATAAAAA